GTCCATAAATGAACTTTCGCATTTTCCTAATTAATATGTTGTGAAAATATGCATTTATATGTTTCTAGTTGTTAGCCCAAAAGGGACATTACTCCCGAATGAGATATTATCTCGAAACGGCATTTTGCGTCGAAATGCTTAAATGCATTGGTTTACGTTTCAGATTGTTGCCACCAAATATTATCACCCTGTATTAAATTGTTGCGTGCATACGTGTTTATATTAGATTCAATGCAGAAGTCCGATAATAGGTTAATAAAAATTTATTTTTACCGGAAAAAATATTTCAGAACTCTGGAATTTTCCACAGAAAAAATCACACAAGTGTTCACAGTATCACACAGCATAATCAGTAATTACACTTCAAACTACTAAGAACGTTAAACACAACGCAATGCAAAGAGTACCTAAAGACAAATCTAACTCGGATATCTCAGTTCACGCGGAACTAACAAATCGCAACAACAATAACTAAGCATCTCGAAGCAGAGGCTTTCTCTTCGGTAGTTTTCAACCGGCCGCGAGATATTTCTAGCACTTTCTGCTTCTCGAAATTATTGGAAAGCAAAACGAGAGTGGAATTACGGTTACAGGTAAACATAGTAGTGAATTACATTTGTTTAATTACAATACTTATTACAGTGATACAATGATCAGACCCAAATGTCGCCGAATAGTCGCCAAGTTTGGCGACTTTGGGCGATTTTTCGTCCGCCAAGGTTGGCGACAAAATAAGTCGCAAAACCGTTGTTAGTTTTGCTATATCTCGCCAAATTAGCAAGATACCCATTCACTCAATGTTAAATGCACTTGCCCCTGTATCTTTACTTTTCTGGCATAGCCTGTCTCAAAATTTATCTCGCGCTGCCTTACACAGAAAAATACAACAATTTTACATATAGTTCTACTAAAATTACCTATTTAGGTATAAAATTCGTAACAATATTTAAATAAATTAAATAATGAAGAATCTGCATGAATGTATGTATGTATGTCTCTCGCACTGTGAAAAAACGACGGTACGTAGAGCCATTATTTAATTACTTTATCGCCAAAGAAAAAGTATAAATGAAATCGATTTAAAGCTAATATTATGTTTATTAATATATTCAAAGAATTGTCTCTTCGCTGGTGCGTGTCAAATGGTCTTTTTGTAGGTATTAAATAATCGAAAATAATTCAATAATACAATTTTCATTTTAATGGGATTTATCTAATGTAATAATACAAATGTCATTTTAATGGGATTTGTTGAAGCATGCCAAGCATAGATCCTCATCTATCACAAAACGTGTTTACTTCTGTCACTTAGTTTCTACCACGATTCTTACCAAGTAGTTTAGCATTCGTAGTAATACTTCCTGTTTAATTTCTCTAGTTCAGAATTTTGTATTTGTGACATTTACTAGCCCAAAGGGGCAATTTATGGCTAATCTTTAGACTATGGTAACAGGTAATTTGGCGACATATTGGTAAGGCGATAAAGGTTACTAGCTAGGACTTTAGCAATAATCTGAGAAGTACACAGTTTGAATCACAGATTATTTTGTCTCAGAGAAATGAGAGATTATGAGACATGTCATGTGACATTTTCCGGAAAATTCCGATCGTGATTTTACCTAATAAGCATTTAAAAAATTTCACTGCTGAAGTGCAGAATCGCCCACTTATTTGTTTGGCGCCTTTTGCAAGAGTAAGAAGAGTTGGATTTTTGTCAATTTTCTTTGACTTTTTAAGTGAAAATAGGTCGATGTGTACATAGATAAAGTCAAGAGTGTGCGCAATGCCATTTTTGTGCAATTCTGGGATTTTTTTAAGTGAAAATACTTCGACGTGTACATGGATACCGTGTATGTGCAGTTCTTAAAAACACGGGAAGCAGTGGGCTATTCTGCACTTTTTCCCAATTTCGCACCTAATCTTCGTCATGATTAAGCACTTTTGTTCCATAAAAGTTCTAGCATAAGCGTAATTCGGCTAGCAGATTGTTGGGAAAAATGTTGAGTTAAAAAAAAAAAAAAAAATACACGATTTTACTTTGTGAAAACAAAATGGCGTCCAAAACGAAACTAGCAGGTTGCTGTAGCAGGGTTGGTCGCCAAATTTTCGCCAAAAAATCGCCAATTTACTATAATGTAAAGATTCACCCAATTTATTTGCCCAGAATGGCTATTAATTGAATTTTGGCTATTTGCGTCGATTTACTTTTGAAATTGTTGAAAATAAAATGATCATGTGATGTTTGGCGATCGTGCATTTGGAATCGTCCGAATCATTTTCCTGACAGGCCTTGCGATAAATGTTTATGCAAACAAGTATTTAGAATTTGTAATGTAACGGATATTTTTTGCTTACTAGGTTAGTTTAATCTTTTCCTCGAATTGCCTGTATAATTATACTTAGATTATATTTCAGTCTAATAGTTTTATGTATGACATGAGTTGTGTATAAAAATAAGAAAAATTTGGACAACATGGCGTCCATGCGAGAATCACGTTTATTCCTTAATGTGATATAATATTATTTTGTGATATTACTGTTGAATTGAATTTTATGGTTTAAGCGCGAAGAACATGATATTTAGTAAATAAAGGTAACACACAAAGCGTTAAAAAAACGCTTCTTTCGGCGTAATGCAAGATCTGGAAGTTTTCAGAATTTTACTTTCTATTTTGATAGCTTAGGTTTTCTTTTACTGGACTATTATAAGGTAACCTTTTTTTGCTGGTACAGTGCTGTTATCATCTTTCGAAATGTTCAGTATATGAGAGCGGAAATGACAATTTATCACTTAAGCGGTTCCTAGACGTTTGGTCACTTAACTCGCTGATAGATATTTCCTAATTATCAGCGAATTATAGCTGTTATTACAGCGATAATGTTGCTGTAATAACAGCCAGCTCACGCAAGCACAGATTAAAATTCAGCAAATTTAATTCTCCTAATCCTAATGGGTTAACAACTAAAGCAAGAATTTAGAAACTAAAGAATTCAATTACATATCGACAATAACTTCGGAAAATTAGGCACGTATTATAATTGTCAAAATTTCAAAATCATACTGCGTAAAACAAGGAATACTGGTTTTACCCTACACTACTCATTGTTGATGGGTTCGTTTATCAACCTCGGCTCATGTGTTCTGGGTCGCTAGATGGGCTATTCCAATATAACTAGATGTTGGCGATTTTCGAACGCACGTCAGTTTCGAATGCTTTACATAGATTGGATAACTGAAAGTAACAAAATTTTTTTTCAATTCAACAATAATAATAAATTCAACAATAATAATCTAATGGTGGGGACTTTCCTGTACATCACTGTCCGTTCCTAAGGCCGGAAGTGGTGGGCATTTTATTGTGGAGGCAACGCTGATTGCTGTAGCGATTAGCTTGGGCCCGAACCTTTCAAATATAGATTTTTAAGCGTACGGTAACATAGCGGTAAGGGGGCACTCAAAATACGAGACAAGCCGAAAGCTTTCTCGAAAGGTAAGTGGCAGAGGAAGAGGCGTGGGAGACTATCGGAATGCTCCTCACGGTATTCTTTTTCAAAATTAAGGTGGACTTGCATTGACTGGAGGGGAGAGCGAGAAGCCTGTACGGCCAGTGTTGAATTTTTGCCATTCCGGTTATTTCTGCCTGTACTTGTACCAATTTCGGACAGCCAAAAGAACTGTATGCGGACCTCAACTAATATTATTTTTTCTCCAAGCGATGCTAGCAGTTATGCATTTAAAGCATTTTCTTCCTCCTTTCTGCATGCCTTCGTGGTAAAGGTAGCACACTCGACGCGTATTCGAGACGTCCAGGTTTGAGTCCCGGCAGGGGCATTTTTCACTTCTGCAGGATAAGAAAAAACCCTAATGACTCTACAGTGGCGCCCGAACTAAAAGGTGGCGGATGATGATTCTTCAGCACCAGGATTTGGCGATTTTGTCCTCTAATCCCCAGTCGTCCTTAAAAGAGGGAGTATATAAGGCATTTTCAATCACCTTTCTGCATGGCTTCGTGGTGTAATTGATAGCACACTCGGCACTTCTTAGAGAGGTCCAGGTTCGAGTCCTGGCGAGGGCATTGCACATTTTTCACTTCTCCAACGCCATAAAACCACAAATGTTTCTACAAGCAAGGCTATAAAAAATCGCACGATAAAAAGTGAGTTGCAGCGGTCCTTCTCTATTTTGATAACTGCCTCGCGCATGCTGTAATTAGTTAATTTTTCTGGTGTGAGGTAATGTATGTGAGTGAATGATTGGATAAATAGGACACTATTTAAATCAAGTGAAACTTGAATGTCATTGATAACGTGTCATGAAATATATGTAACCTGTAACTATGTTCGGTTCAAATGTTTTTCTAAAACGTGTAAAAGAGGTTTATGTGTCGTTAAGCAATTGCTGAACTTTATTAAATGTCATGTTTCAGAAGAATGCTATTCCTTTTGTAAATGTTTAACACTTGAGCAGTTGTTGGATCATTAAGACAGCATTGCTGCTGTGAATCTATCGGAAAACCTATTGGTGACAGTTGGCCCGAAACAAATCGTAGGTCTTCCCTCCTATATCAAGATTCGGTGACTCTGCCATAAAATTTATCTCTCTCATCTTGCGTACAGAATCCATTCGGCTTGCAATTGCGCCATTCGCGCTGTTCCCACAGGCCTTCCCTCTCCTAGTTCGATTCTGGTCGGATCGTCTCATTTACATGACACTGAGACACTCAACTCGTAAAAATCGTCCCTCTGTCCATCCCGATCTATCGGCGATTGCACGTCCCGACTGACTCAACAATTCAGCAACCACGAGGTGTTGTTACGTATCTGGCGCTGCCGTATGCGCACGCGTAGTGGATGCGGTGGGAGAGGAGAGAGAGCGCACGCGGAGGAGAGAGCCTCCACCCACCACCTCCACTCGCGTCTTTCATCTCGCGTAGCCCCACTTAAACGCAGGTGTCATTTCAGCGCAAAGTTTCAGCGAGAGTGGAAGTACTGGGGTTTCGCGGTTCTCTATCGTCATCAACCCTCTTGCCGAAGTTGCCACGGCACCAGCCGCGGCGCTCTTGCCGGTGAGTGTCCCGTACAAGGACTTGGCTGTCAGGCGGTTGTCAAATCGCAAGTTTTCCAAACTTCACCACCTCTTCAGCAGGCATGGCTTAGGACATTGACGAATCTGGAAAAATAACCGTTGAATGAGATCTAACGAGTCTGATCTGATGACTGCTTGTTAGTTGGCGAATCCTGCTGAAACTTCCATGGTAAATCACATCGAAATCTACGTAAGAGATATCTCGCAGGTGTTTCTATCCATCCACGCCAGGTGGTTACTAGCTATTGCCCAATACTTTAAGAAATATACCATGAATGAATATGTATCCAAATTCATAACTATCTGTTAGCTAATTATTAGCTGCTGACATCTTAGAAATAGTTGTTGTTAGCGGTGTAGTCCTCAGAGAACACTGTAAGCTGGTCATCAAGACACGGTGTTGAACACTTGTTGAACATTAAGATCGCAAGACATAATAATGACAGCGAACATTACTTGTCTGTTTTTCATCAAGCATTATGTTACGGATTCGCTTCGCTGAAGACATTGAGATATTGTCAAAAAAATGTGAAAGATTTTTCTCGATACAAACGAGGACTGAAAAATAAAGTCCCGAAAGCCAAAATCCCGAAGTTTACGAGAAATTCAAGCTGCTTATCAACGAGACATCTGAAACATGTTTTATAGCACCATGTGGGGCAACTGTGGCGGATTCGGTGGAAGACCTTTCGTTCCAGAAGTGATGTGGCCCTATTTCAATGGTTTGCTCCCAGGTAAAATTATTATTTTACATTACATTTGTAATTTTCGAGGATAGCAAATAACAAGATGATCGTAAAATTCGTGCTTATTGCGCAACAGTTAAGTTTTATTAAATATTGAATATATTTATTTTACATTCAGCGCACTCCATTGCAGCAATTTTAATACGGTTTTAAATATTTTGTTTTTTGGTTGTCTTAGGTTAATACATGCTTAGCAATTGTAATATTCTGGTGTTATTCATTAAAGCGAGTAATACTGATGTTAAGTAATAACTTAAGTAGCGACTGTTAAATTTATTATTCATATTTTGGGCGTTTACTAGTACATGTTAATTGCGCATATTAATGTAGTTGAATGTTTTAACTGAGAAACATTTATTAAATTTGAATCAAGACATGTGTAAAGGAGAAAATGAATGGGTAAGCATTGACTGAGTATTCATAATTGAACTTTGTATTACAGATTTTGCATTAATTCTTTAGATCTCGTCTAAATACACGACCACGCTTTTTCAGAAATTTGTTTTCAAAATGTTTTAAATTATATATGCAGGCATTAGTAAATAAAGGAGCATTCAGAATTTAATAAATTGCAGATGACATTCATTTTAAGGTGATTGTATTTAGCAAATAATAACATTATTCTTTTGGTAATATGATTTGCGAAGTAACAGTAACCTTAATATGTCATCAGCAACTAGTGTTACACAAAAGGTATTTGTTACTATTATTATTTAAATGCATAACTTAACAAAAGCGGGATTTCATATGTATTAAAGAATAAAAACATCAGTACTTAAAATATTGATGCTTTAGATCGTTTCGAGGTTTCGTTTTCGGAAAGCACGAGTAACGATATCAAATCAAATCAAATCAAATCAAATCAAACGTAGTTATTATTAAAATTTTTAAAGTTTGCTTAAATAATTTTTATGAGCTGCCTCGTTTGAAATCGGTAGAATTCATTTCAAAGAAAAAAAAAAAAAAGAGTATATTTTAAAGGGAACATTCTTTAAATTATTTAATTTTGCAGATGAAAAAACCAAAGGTTTCAGGTATTAATGATCGCACAAAAGAATTTGTTAAGATTTCATACGCTTTCGCTGACCTCGCCAGTCTACCGATATATTTTTACAGTCACTCCTGTTAACCCATTTCTTTTTCTCTTTTAGCTTAGTATTATTTTCTTCGCATTTACGCCATACACAAACAAAAATTTTCAAAACAGCATAGGAGCATTTGCTTAGAATTCTCTGTGCAGAATATGCGTTGGCACCTATTTATCTATTTTCTTTCAGTATTATATCAGTGTTCAGTTTTCTCAGTAAAATGGCTTGGAGAAAAAAAAATCTTTTCATTATTATTAGCACTTCTTTGTGTTAACATCATTTATAAGTTGTTGCTTTCTTCGCAGTGATGCCACATAAAATTCAGTTCAAAAGCAAAATCACAAAGTATTTAGAAAACATCGTATCTTCCATAATTTCTGGTAGTCTGACCTGGAGGTAAGTGTTTTATACCGTAAAAGTGTTGCCACTGCTGGTTTTCATATCGTTGAGTTTGTTGATTAAACGTTCATTATTCAAAATTACACAAAATATGAAATCCAAACTTCGGGTTTTCAGGTGCACTTGTTCTGTGAAGCACTACGTTATTCAAAATTTAATGTCTCTAGGTAGCGTCATTTTTTCACAGTGCGAGGAAAATACACGCATTCATGCAGATTCTTCATTATTTAATTTCTTTAACAATGATACGTGGTGATAGTATTTGATGGCAACAATTTGAAAAGTGATTTGCCGTGTATAATGGACAACTTAAAAAAATCCCGTTTCGAGAATCCCGTTTTTCTCAATATTTACTCAGTCAACATTCCTACGCCATTACATCTAAGCTTGTTTTATTACATATATAATAATAATGGAGACACTAAATCCGTAAAGAAAATGTTATGTGGAATGTTAAAACATTAAATTCAAATGAATCCATTGAAATAATAAAAAATATGACCAATGAATAAGTAATGTGGAGTTATTGCAAAACGTTATAATTAATTATATACTTGAATTGGTCATTTAATTAAAATTAACAAGTTCGTATATTATTTTCTTAGAACGCTAAGTATACGCTAAATATACGTATCTTAAATGTATTTGTATTTTCCCGTATTAAATGTTTGTAATTGCTCATATTGTCAGCCTATTTAAAATTCTCAAACTTTAGAATTTAAAGTGTAAGCTTGTTAATTTTGGTGTTTATCAACAATTTGGAGTTTCTTATTCGACATTAGTTCATAGTTTAAATACTTATTTTCCGATTTTGTATTTGAGGATACGATTGGCGGAATAACGGTAGTCTTGGATATCAATGGTAATTGTTTCTTGGTTTCATTTTATTGCATTGAGTCAGATAACTGTATAAGCATTTTCGTAGTCTGTCCTTCAATGCAACGTTAATACGGCTTAGTCTCTTAAAAGAACCGTTCACGAATACATAACTACCATTGAAAGGTTCTGTCCATGTTCATGATAATCCATGATAATCGTAAAGCGCTTAACTCTAAATAACTAACATTTAGTTCCGTTAGAATTTCTTCATTATTAGAAAAAATTCTGATGTGTACACCACATGACTTCCTTGTGCGGAATATTTAATTATACGCATTTTTTCTTGCCTTTCGTTTAAACTTATTAGATTGAATTAAACCTACTTCGCCGACAGCGCATAAACCACAATAGAATAAATGCATTCTTTAAAATTCACTTTGTTTACCATAGCGACACTCTGGCGCGAGGTTTACTTAACAGTATTATGTTTCGTTCATATTATAATTCAAAATGCACAAAATTTATATCATTTTAAGAATTATCTAATCGTTGCCACATGTTCTATTCAAATACTATAATAAAGCTAGAACGATGTATAAAAGAAATTAAGCAAACAAAACAAAAAAGAAAGTTTTTCACAGACGATTGACAAACATATAAGAGTAAAAGAAACTGAGATCACTCAGCCGGGTAACAGAGTGGATATATTTATAAATATATTTATATACGTTCGGCGCGGCCGATTGAAACCAAAATACGAGGTGCACATCTACATGTTATAGTAGTCTTATATACAAAATTTCAACGTTCTGAGACTACTCGTTTTTGAGTTATGCGAGATACGTACGTGCATACGTTCGTACAGACGCCACGAAAAATTCCTTTCAGAATTCATTTTAAAGCTGTTTTATAATTTTTTTTTTGGAATGAAAAGAGTGTTTTATTCTGCCCTTACGTACAGATATCACTCAAAAACATCGTTAAATTGCGTTCGAAAGCGGTCAAAGTGGATATATTCGCTGAAATATGCTGCCTGAAGCTTTTCGCAATTACAATACTTCCTTTTTACTTCGTACAAGGAAGTAAAAAGGTTAAACAATAGCTTTTTTCATTTTTTCCCCATTTCTTAAATTTACACTTGGCAGTAATTAACACATTTTGTTTCCTGTAGTGGAGAAAGTTAACAGAATATTTTTCATAAACTTAACCTTTCGAAAGTGATCCTAGATGTGCATTTATGTAGCATCATAATTTATGCAACAAGCTAATGAAATTAGTTCTGTAGAAATACATCTTGAAGTTATTAAAATTACCGACGTTTGTCTAGAGAGACACTTTTCCAAATCGCCCATATTATTTGATTATATTTACAAAGAATTTTGCTCTCTTTTGAATTCTACATGCTACATTTGCATGGTACATGCTAAAGATTTCACAATCATTCTCAATAGATTACTTCCTGATTATTTAATGAAATCATAGATTAAACTAAACCAAATAACTTCTGCATTTTCTTTCCTGTACCTATTTAACCCAAAAGTCGTTTTAATCCCAAAAGCGATATCAGTCTAGAAACGGCATTTTCCGTTGAATCGCTGCAAACGGCGTATCACTTTTCAAACTGTTGCCACCAAATATTATCACCCCGTATTATATTTAAAGAAACCAAGTAATGTAGAATCTGCAAGAATGTATGCATGTTTCTCACATTGTGAAAAAAACAACGGTATCTAGTGCCATCCAATTTTGAGTAACATAGTCCTTCATCCGCACATGTGCAGCTGGAAGCCCGAATTTTGAATTTCGAGTTAATTTTATTATCTATTTCATATTTTGTAAAACTTTAGCGAATTTTTGCTTAGGAAACTCAACCATTTCGAAGCGAGCAGTGGCAATTCTGTACGGGAAAAAAACATTTTTATCTCCTGCGTGCGAGACTGTCCATCGGGAATTCTAAAAATATGCTGTTTTTATAAATATTTTGTGGTTTTGCTGTTGAATCGAATTTTACGTGGTCTAAGCGTCAACGGTATGATATTTAATAAGTAAAGTAAAAACGCAAAATGTTAATAATAAAAAGAGGGAAAATAAGAGTTTTGTAAAGTTTTGTATCTTAATAATTAAGTTTATAATAAAGTTTTGTATCTTAATAATAATAATAACTTAATCTTGATAAAAAAAAGTGATGCATATTAAATTCTAAAATAATGAAACTTCGATCAAAGCATGATGAAATAGAACTAGCTTGTTTGGAAATCTAAATTCGGCTAGCATGAAAAAGAAACTTGCCCCCCCTTTTTTTTTTAATAAGTATTCGGAAATTCCATTTGTAAAATTACACGTGTTACTGTTGCATTTTTGAGTGGTTATAAGCGACACATAATCAAATTTACTGTTTTAATGAGAAATAACTTTAATTGGTTGTAAAGTGTTTTAATACGATTTTAACGAATCAAAATGCTAAAGAGCTAGTAATATTGTTTTATTGTTTTTCACTTTAACTGACTGTGTGATGTACGGGGAGGAGCACGTTATTTTAAACTTAAATTTACGCAACATTGTGACTAATCGTTGATTTTGTTGCAAAACTTTCAACCTGCAGGGAGGTTTACCTAACTTACCCAGTTCAAGTTTACAATACTTTAAGACGGAATTTTTTACAGCTAAACAGAGCTGTGTTTG